CCTAAGATTTTATTTAATCCTTTCTTAACCATCTACAATGAGCATTATCAAGAGTCTAGTGATTATCTCCATTCTCGGAATATTCTTTATACCTCGTTATTCCGAATCCGCAATATCTTGCAGTACTGTTATACAAGATTTGCAGCCATGTGTAAGCTACTTGACTAGCGGAAGTGGAAAACCTCCGAAGACTTGCTGCGACGGAGTTCAAAGTTTAGATGCGGCGACCACCACATCCGCCGATAAGAAGGCGGCTTGTCAATGCATCAAATCAGTGGCTAATAGTGTCACCGTGAAGCCTGAATTGGCGCAAGCCCTAGCTACCAATTGTGGTGCGAGCTTGCCAGTTGATGCATCTTCTACTGTGGACTGCAAAACGTATGTTTGATATGCTCTTTTGAATTTTGAATTTTTATGTTTAATTAGGTTGAACTCTATAAACTTAAAATCTTAATAAAACATAACTTGACAATTTTATTGGAATTGTTTTCTTTTTTTGCAGGGTTGGTTGAGATATTCTCAATATCGTCCAAGGGTCCATCTATACTTCTTACGTATGCAATTTATATCAATAAAAGCCTCGTATTATATAGTTATGCGAATGTCTGTGTCACATTTTAGGCCTGCTCATTATAAGCTAAAATTAATTTCGTAATGTTTGGGTAATATGCATGTTCATGTATAAGTAGACTCTCTTACTGCAATCATTTACGCCGGTGGTTTGGATATTGTTATGAAGTGACGAGTCATGAAAACTCCTGCTTTTTTTGTTGTTGACCATCAAATTTATTAAAGCTCTGTCTATTATGTATTACAGAATTGAAAAGAAAAAAAAAAGTCGATGTCACTATGGAAAGATTAATCTTGCCTCGTCGGTATAGGATCTAACACATTTAAATGTTGAGGATTTTGGATTAAAATTTGATCGACAATTTCAAAAATAACACAAACGAGTTCTATGTATAGTAGTTCATTTCCAGTGTCAAAGTTAAGGCTAGGCGAATTATCCTCCTACTTTTAGAATGACCAAATAAAAAATTGTCTAACAAAGAAAATTATTCTTATAAATGACAGAATTCTTAAACGATTAACAGTCAGAGCTATTGCTCACTAGATTTCATATATTTTCTAGGATTCTTTTTTTATTTCGTCTAATTTATGATCCCCTAGAGGATGAATATCTCATCAAATGCTAATCCCAAAAACAGCCATGGTCTACGCAGACGACCGTGAGATATTCAGTCTGGAGAATTCAAAAGTCGACTTGAACAGTATCTATATCTATACATGTTTTC